AGATTTAGGAAAAGCCTGTCTTGCTATTGTAGTTGCATTTATCATGTGACTCACTGGTACCAATGTCTGTCTGGTAGCTTTGGTTCCCGTTGGGGGTGGGGGCGATGGGAATCTAGGCTGTGCCACTTTAAATGGCATTTGGAAGGCCCTCCTATTCCATTGTGAGGATTTCAATAATCTGCCCATACTTCACCTTAAACAAACTGGGATGACTCGGGTTATTATGCAAGATCTGTTCATAGATTGAAAACATGCTAAATCTATTCAACAAGTATCTGGCGTACGAAGTCTCTGCCACTGGTCCCAGGGCGACCCAGGGTGACTCGACTAGTTGTTTATTAACGAAATGACACCATATTTAAAGTCGAGTCCCATTGGCAACCACTTTGGAAACTTGACCATTGATCAATAGATAAATGTAGGGAAGCATTTAAAGAATTCGCTGATTGAAAGTGTCCCTTCCCCTCTACCATCTGACTCATCTTTCTGCATACTAACAAAGTATAGTGGAGTTCGACTGCGACGAGTGGCGAGAATAAATTGTTACTAATGCTACTCCCTCACAAGCCTCATTCATTCGGCCTCTTCCGAAATCTCTCGATCCGCCAAATCAGTATGATACGTAATTCTTGAATGCACATCCACTCGCCATAGTTCGCTAAGGGTGGGTTAAGTAAGGTCTAATAGGGGAGGCTCATTGTAACGAAATTCGAGGTCATCACAAGTTCATTAAATTGCATTTAGTTTACCTCCCTAAATGTTTTCTCATCCAGGCTGGACTTCAGTTTCAACCACTCAGGTCTCATCAGCACCCCAACAAAATTTGAAAGCCTGTCATGTGTATCATTGCGATATATCGGCTAAACAGCTACAGGCGTCTTAGGGTCACAGTGTAAATGCCACTTTCAAGGCCAGCAGGGCTTCATCAAAATCACACTTGTATTGAGGCTGTCGGTGAGGAAATCTTGTAGTTATCATTATTATTCGTATGTGAGTAGAGTTTCGAGACTATCAGCAAATCAGTAATATGCAAGGTATTCACCATATTCCGTTTAAGGTGATGAAGGACTGGTAGTAAAATTTTCCCACAATGATATGAGCAGAGCTGACGTTTCCATTGAATTTCATATAGCCTAGTTTTTCCAAAAGTTGTTCTCATCCGGGGTGAATACATCTCATATTACTGATTTACTGGTAGTCTCAAAAATCTATTTACATACGAAAAATAAGTAACGTAGTCGGTTGTTATAGCGAATAAACATTTGCTTCATCGACAATCCCAACAAAGAATGTGATATGGGAAGGGGCCTGGCCGTCCTGGAAATACACATCTACCCTGTGACCCAAGAGCACTTGTGTCAATGTGGCCAGGTGGCTAACTTGGCAGTCTCCCATTCTGCACTGTCATGGTTCGACTCCCGCTGGGGGTGTTGATAAGACCAATGCGAGGTCGAAACTGCAGTCAACCCTGGATGAGAACAACTTTTTGGAAAGCAAGGCTATGTGAAATTCAATGGCAACGTCATTGTGGGAAAAATTTTCTACCAGTCCTTCATCACCTCAAACAATATAGGGTGAATACATCTCATATTATCATTATTACTTAGAACAGTATTTTTCTAGACTTTAATTAAATTTTTAATAGTCAAGAACTTCAGTCACTCTAGGTCGTTAAAGGTTACGCACTGGAACGCATGACTGTGTTGTGAATCATCAGCGTGTCCTCACTTGCAGCACACGACCTGGGGTCGAATCCCATTGGAGGTGTTACTGACACTCGGGCGAAGTTGAAAAGGTAGTCAAACCTCGATGAGAACAACTTTGAGCAGGAAAATCTAAGTGGAATCAAGAAAGCATATAATTGTGAGAAAAACTCAATTATCATTCCTTAACTTCCTTTAGGCGATCTAGGAAGACTAAACTTTTATTCTGCATCCTCAACATGTCAAACATGCCTACCAACCTCTTCGAATCTTTATCAGGAAACTCTCTTATCCGGACTTTCTCCTCATCTCACTTGCACGCCATACTCATCGACTCCTTGGGGCCACCGGTGACAAGATCATTTATGCTTATCCTGACGTAAACTGGGTCTCGAAGAAGAGATTTCGCTTTAAGGGAATTTTGTTCATAAATAATTTCATAGTATGTCATGGCTGGTGCGTCATCGTGGTATGAATAAGTGCTCGCTTAAACAAATTTATGAATCTATTCCACGTTTCATATAAAATGGAATGTTTGATTAAATTCTTTATGATTTGATTTAAATTAGCATGCTTTGGTCAAATCACAGACTATCATCAGTGAGGAAGATGTCGCTTCAATGGGTATGATGCTTAATCACTACTCTACTGTGGCATATGCTTCTTTTATTTTTTTTTTCTCCACTCACTGAGAATACATAAAATGCGCTTTCATCTGCCTCTATTAGGCAAAGGAGCTCCCAGTCACCCTATGCCCATCATGACCTTAAGTATTTTCCTCGGCAAACTCTCGCAGGTTGAGGCTTATCTTTTTATTGCGTTTATTCTCTTTTCTTTTTCTGTTCAAGTGTTTCACTATTTTTTATGTATTTAAAGACATCAACCTTAATCTCCTAGTTTAGAAAATCTCCTCAATGCTTGAGTCAGTAGAAGGGAAACTAACGCAAATAATTTAATTTGAAAAACTAGTAGAAATGAGACTCAAATGAGACAAGCGTCACTTTTAGTGCAGCTCTTTTCTATCAAGTTTATCCATCTACTTATCCCTGACCAATCTCATTTGTTATATTCACCTAAATGCAGACATTTATGCAGCTAGAGCATGCAAAAAATGATAATTTTATTTTTATTATTCATTCCGTCTCTTTTATCCTCTCTACTTGGTATTTATCTCCTGCTTCTTACACTTTCCACTTGATATTTCCACTTGGTACATCTGATCCTTCCCCTTTAGCCTCTTAGCCCTAGAGGCTGGATTAAATGCCCGAAACAGCCCGGCTCGAAAAGGCGAATAGTTTAAGTGACAAGAACCATGAATATTTCTTGTTGGGCTGATTGTGGTTCATTTCTCGATGGTCGAGGAAAGTATTAAGGCTTTGATACTGGCGTACCTTTCCTTTCGTTTAAGAAGGCGGGGCGAAGGGATTCGTAGATTGGCCTCGCCGGATACTGCAGGAGGGTTGCCTTGGACCTTTTTCCGTATAATTGTGCGGTATCCGGTGCGGATAGATAGAATGATTTGCCGAGTTTTCTTTGTTATTAATCGTGGTACCCTAAGATAAATAACCAAACTATTATATTTCTATTTATCGAACGATATTAATATATTTGCATTTCTAAGTTATGATGTAATATATTACATGTAGGAGACTTTCTGATCGACTGCGTCTACATGAAACTTGTATTGAAGTCAATCGGCCGTCATCTTCCGGTGATATCAACCAACGAATTTCTTCACCATACACTTTAATACGAAATGATAGTCTCCACAGCAACACAGATTTGGTAATTTCGTCTATTGTAATTGCAAATAGAAGTTTGCTTCATTGATAATTCCACCATAAATATGAATTATAAGAGGCCAGCCCTGCCTTTAAATTCATTTCCGCTCTGTATGGTGGAGTGATGAAGTTTTGTTCCTTTTAGAATATGATCTGTTTTCGAATCCCGTTCAAGATACTGACGAGCTCTTAGTGAGATTGAAGCTTTAGTCCGTTTTCGCTGAGAAGACTGTTTGGGAGACCAGATTAAGTGAGATTCCCCGGCATCGGGAAGCCTATTTATTAGATTGTAAGAAGGAATTTATTCTTCTCGAAAAAGAATGGTTTCTGATTGTAATGATTGAAAGACTGGTTACAAGAATTTTATGAGAGAGCCTGATTTTTTAGTTGCATCTCCCCTTGAAATACATCTCAAAAGTTTGTTCAGCTCCAGCTATGGCTGTAGATTCATTTCATCAGAACGACAACGGGATTCTAATGGTATAAGTGTAGGTAAGCACGCTCAGTTTAGTTCAGTCCTCCGTCGAGGCTGATGGCAAATAAGCATATTCCACAAGATGGTGTGATTTGCGTAAAGCAATGGGGCCTATATGGTAAAATTATCAGTTAGTAACCTTGACACATCTACGATTCGATTCACGTCGTTTTGAGGTGCCGAATCGTGAACAGAATCACAATCTGTTCATATCAGACGAAAAATTTCTATGTGAAGTAAGTAGACAATTGTATTTTTAATATTTTACTGTGTATCTTCAGCTCATCCCCTCCGCAGCCACGTCCACGCTATTCCTCATGGAGAATGGGTCGGACTAATTGCATTCCTTAGTCCAGCCTGTTGGTTCCCATCGTCAACTCCAGCTTTTTTCACATTGTTGTACTCTGGTGCCAGAAGCTGTCAGAATACTCCACATTCCAAACGCGAGCTTAAGGCTTATTTACTCTTCACCATCAGGTACTTTATCCCACGATCCCCACATAAAGAATCAACCAAGAATTCAGGTTGGCCTAGGCAGCATAGGGTGGTAAAAAACTGGTAGTTCAATTCTCCCACGATTATATGAGTAGGCCTTACGCTTTCGTTGAATTTCTCGAAAAGTACTCCTATTCCGATTGGACTGCAGTTTTGACATCTTCTGGCTCCCATCTGCACCTCAATGGTATTTGAACCCAAGTTGTGCAGCCTATAATCTGGATTAACCCTGGGGGTGATGATGAGACCTAGGCGAAATGGATGAGAATATTTTTTGAGAGTCAAGACTAAGGGAGGATTCAATGAAAGGATGCGGTAGTGGGAAAATTATAATATCACCTCTTAATCGCCTTATGCGACTATCATATAGAGTGACTTGAACTAATAGCTTAGAAGCCTAATCTATATGAATATACAGCCAACTAATTCCTACTACGTCAGTTGCACACCCAGTTCCCCTTGACTGTGGATGGATATAAACAGCCCACAAGCATGCTTTTCACACACCACATAATGCAAGGTGTGTGTACGCACGCCAGCCAGTAACTATGAGAATGCGGTGCTGATTTTGGAGAGATCAAGCAGAGTTTCACCCGCCTAACATTAGAGTATACCAAATAAAAATTAATACCTTCCCTTCAAATGATAATTCTAGGCCTAAATCGGGAACTTTATAAGCATGCCGGAGGAAGAGTCTACTCTAAGATGAAGTTGGGGCTGGCAAGCCGCCCAAAGGTTGACAGACATTCGCGCTCCTTTTCCGAGGCTGTGGCGAATGCCGCTAGTCATCATGCAAAACTTTTTAATGAGGCAGGGTTAAAATGAAGGCCTGTAAAGTCATGGCACACATGAACAGGCCATTAAATGACTCAGCCACAGAAATTTCGCCAAAATTCCAGAAAGCACAGGCCTTCCCTCACAAGAACCCAGCCTTCATACCCCTTCCGCTTTGCAGTAGCCCACCGAGGAGAGTTTCCAACCTCCCATCGTTAGCAGCTCAGCCTCGGACACATCTCCCATTAGGGCCAAGCGTCAGGAGAAATGCGAAATGCGAACACGCGCATGCCATAACGACACGGTCTCAGGGCTTCACAAGAAGCCCTCTTGAAGTTATTTATTTAAGACACCCTTCCCCTGACGAAAGCAGGCCTAACGTGTGAGTCAGTTGGCGCTTTGACTAAAACGTACAAAATAGAAAAGTCTGATAATCTGGATTTGATGTCAACACGATCCGTAAAGGGTACACGTTGCTAATGGATCCTGTTTATATGACGTAATCTATCGCTCAATTTTGACTATTTGTTTGACATTGTCTGGATAAAACTGAAGGCACACAATGCATGATTGCTCCTGCAAGAGAGGCTAAAACACTTAACTATCCCCAAATATACAACCAGCTAATTCCTACCACCACCGCCACACTGCACAGTTCACTTTTGACCGTATTTCAGAGGTGAGTAAAGAGGTTTAGGGTTGACAACGACAATTCTGAAGATGAAGAGTATAGAAGACTCGAGTCGGGCAATAAATTTGTCTTAATCGTTTATTATAAATTGTCACCTTCGTCCAACCTAGATTGCAGTCTAGCACTCGACGCATTGTCTCATCAATTCTCTTAGCAGAAGATGTGCCGTCGACATGAGAGACAAGAGGCAAACACTTTTCGCATCTACGAATTGGGTTGAGAGGGTTTGTCCCGCTCAGAACGTGAAAAAAATCGCATATTTGGACTTGTAATATTTGGGATAGCGCTTCAACTTTTTAGCAAGTACGCCAAAAGCTAGAGTCCGACTGAGAGGGCGGCGATATGGTGAGATGGTTTCGAAACTACAATCCATTTCTTTGTATTTAGGAGTCAGGAGCGGTGAACTTGGCTGACAGTCCGTCGCGAATAGTAACACTAACAAAGACAGTGATCAAAAAATTATCTTATTTACACTCTAGTCCTCGATGGACGCAACCATGTTTCAGAGGAGAGAAACTATGTGATTTCGATGTGAGAAGTAATGTCGAGGCTATCAGTAATTTTGTAGATATGAAGAGAAACTGGGTTTCGATTAATGTTATGAGATAATGTTGTTAGGGGGACTATCAGTTTGTATAAAAGTGAATGAAAAAGAGATGCGTTGGTCGATCTCACCAGATGAGGACGGATGAATCTAGTTGTACTACAGCCGTTTGTATTTTATACGATGTTCATGTTGACGTAGCCCACAAGACTTCCTCCCTCGTTTCGGGTTAAAACGTGCTGAGCTTTCATCCATAAAATTATGGACATCATCAAAGCTGGGTTTCATTCTTGTAAGAGACTCGCGTTAAAACTAGGCCAAGAACATTATCCGGCTCTATCTTACTTCTTATATAGACTCAATTGAGCCAAAAGAAAATTAAGAACCTTGATAGATCGACATAGAGTGGTTTGGTTAATTTTCTTTCAAACTGGTTCTGTTACTTTTGCTCGAGTCTATGCGTATGTGTATGTGTGCGTGGTAGCGTTTATATGCAATACGGTTCATAAATTAGAGTTGTCGAAGTTTTAATCTGAGATACTGATCCTCAAGACCTAATTACCAAAGAGAAGGCATTGACCGAGACTGCGTAGGTCCGTAAACAAGCATAGTTGAGATAATGAGATATGAGCTTGTAAGCGTGAAAATCAAGTTACGAGGGTCATCAACTTTTAACCCTCCAAGGAAAGGCAAGACTGGGGTTGCATAATCTGACATGTCTGGTTTGGTTGATGAGCTTATTCTAACATTTTGTGTGAATGTGAGTGAAATTAGGACCATCACCGAGCAGACAAATTGAGTCGCTTTATTTAGGACAGCGGCTCAACACCCTCTCTCTCTTTCAATCTATCAATCAAACATAAATAGTTCCTACTCAACTTTATACAACCGTTCTTCACATTCAACATATTTGCTAAGCTATTAATTTCAATAGCCTCTCTTATCTTTCTTTTAAACACAGACGTACCATAATCAGCAAACCTTATTATTATATTTCATGTCCAGTTTATATCATGTGTTCGGCCACTTCAGACCGTTGGAGCCAGATTCCTTTACAAACATTTTTGTGTTCTCCCAATCTTAGTCGAATAGGTCGACATGTCTCACTAACATAAGCACATGAGCAAACAACCTTGGAGGAGCCGGATCTCGATAATGAGTCATATTTCCCTCTACAAGATGGCATACTAAAAGAAAGTGTGAGGGTTTCTTTGGACACTGTTTTAATGCCCCACTTCTTTACTAATTAGCATATTTTTTTGAAAAAAAACATGACGGAAAAATTAGGACATGGGAAAAGGTCTCATTATGTCTCTTTTTTGTTAGGCCATCTTTTAGATAGAAATATGACCTATTATCGAGATCAGTCTGCTACAAGTTTGTTCGCCCATGTGGTCGATGTTATGTTGGTGAGACATGTCGACCTATTCGACAAAGATTAGTAGAACACTAAAATGCTTGTAAAGGTAGCTGGATCCAATGGTCAGAAGTAGCCGAACACGCGGTTATAAACTGGACATGAGATATAATAGTTTCATTTTAGTAGGTAGGCTGATTATGGTACGTCTGTGGTTAAAAGAAAGATAAGAGAGGCTTTTGAAATTAATAGCTTAGGAAATA